CAAGACGAACCGAGATCCAGCGACTGTTAAGGGCTGGAGACCGATCGCACTTCCGTCATGTTTGGGTAAGGGATTGGAACGACTCTTGGCGAAGCGGATGGCTCATCTCGCGGTTACGCTCGACTTTGTCGGAGACCAACAATTCGGCGCGCTCCCCAAAAGATCTGCAAACGACCTCGTCAACTGCGTAGTCCACGACATCGAAGAGGCAAGCACCCAGGGATGGGCGGCCACATTCACAACTCTAGACGTCCAAGGAGCGTTCGATGCAGTACTCCACAACCGTTTGGTGAGGAGGATGCGAGATCAGGGATGGCCGGACTCAATTCTCCGATGGACGGCGTCTTTTCTTGCACATCGAAAGGTACAAGTCCGATACTCCGGAGGGGTAACCGGGCAGAGAGAGCTAGTTTGTGGGGTTCCGCAGGGATCACCAATATCGCCACTTCTCTTCCTTTTATACATGGCAGAGCCTATGCGAAGCGGCAACCCGGGAATGAGGTTCAGCTACGCAGACGATATCGGGATACTAGGATTCGGGCGTAGCATTGCCGAGTCGGCCGCTTCTGTACAGAAGGAAGTGGATCATCTTCTGGAGTGGGCAAGTACCAACGCAGTCTCCTTCGATACCAATAAGTCGGAGGTAGTCCAGTTTCCCGGACGGAAACGCGAGGAGCCAGTGGGTATTCGTGTGAACGGCGTGGTTATCGAGCCAGCAGACCAAATACGCTGGCTTGGAGTACACCTAGACCCGCGGCTGGACTTCAAACATCACGTCACGACGTGGTGTGGCAAAGCTCTGAAGGTGGCCCAGCAAATGCGCCGCTTCAACTCTGCGTATCGAGGAGCTGCCCCCGCGGCACTGGTTCGAGCAGTGGACACGTGCATTGTCCCCATAGCAACCTTCGGAGCAGATGTTTGGTGGCCCGGCCTCAAACGTCCGACCAAAAGGGAGATCATCACACCTCGAACCAGCATTTTCTGCGAGATGATTGACAAGGCAATCTTGACGGGACTGCGCGCTGCCCATTCGGTAATGAGAACTACACCGAATCTTGTTCTCCACCGAGAAGGAGGTATCCCAACAGGGAAGATCATTCTGGAAGGGAACCGACTACGGCTTTCGGCTCGGCTCCACTCACTGGACAACCGCCACCCACTCCGGACTCGTGCCGCCGTGTGTCCAAACAATGGAACAAGGAAGTACAAGAAAAATGCTCGGGTACCCAAGAATCCGGAGATCCAGATGTCAAGAGTGCAGCGGACCTATCGACAACTCCCGGACGCGGAAGACGCTAAGCCTCTGCCGCCTCCATGCTATCTGTCGAACTTCGGACCAAGGACAGAAGAGGAGGACAAGGTAACTCGGTTCCTTAGAGGTGTATTGCCATCGGATATCTGTGCCTACCCGGATGGATCGTCGGAGGGGCATGGCCGCTCAGCATGGGGGTTCGTCTTGAAGAGGGATGGAAAGACTCTGCTGAAGGGATGTGGTATCAAGTATGGTGGTGAAGTGCTCGATGCGGAAATACTAGGGGCGAGGAAGGCCCTGGAAGCTGCGCTAGGATTGTTGGAGAGAGAGAACGGGAGAAGTAACGGCAGGCAGTGGATCAACGTGTTGACGGATAGTCAGTCTGCAGTGAAGGCACTGCTGACGGGAACCGCCACAACAAGTCTCGACGATGTACGCCAATTTAGGGCGCTATCAGAAAAGGCTCGAGTCTCGGTTCAGTGGATACCAGCCCACTCGGGGATACAGGGAAACGAAGAGGCTGATAGAGTTGCACGCTCGGCCTCCGACAACTTCCAAGTAAAGAGAGCCAGCCTGGCTCCGTCACTTTGGCGTACGTTCGTCGTCTGATGAACCAGAAACGTCAAGCTCTTCTCGAGGAATGGTGGGAGGAAGCATGTCCACCTAGGTATCGAAATCTGGGTCTACTCATGCGACGACGCAAGCCAAAGGAGCAGGCACTTTCTCGGCGGTTACTCCGTGAACTGATCTCAGCCCGAACGGGACACGGAAACTTCGCTGCATGTCACCGTCGTTTCAACAACTTCACCGCTTCCATGGAGTGTACGTGTGGAGAGGAAACATCACCTCTCCACTTCATTCACTGTCGACTGCACGAACGTCAGACGCGTCGACTCCGAGGGACAATGTCACATCACGACTTTGTCCAAAAGCTTCTCGGGCCTAAGTGCCTTGAGGATTTTACAAATTTTGCGCAGGAAACCGGCTGCTTCGGCGACTCACCTGCAAGTCCGTCACCAGCTCTCAGCGGAGACAACATTAACTAGGTCATAGCACGAAGCATGACAGGAAGGAAAACGAGACGAGTGTCGCTTTCCCACCTCAAATTGGAGTATTGGATTTGGAATTTTGGTTATGGGAGTCTGTGGGAGCATTTATATTCTTTCTTATAACTAGCTACTGGTTGTGTAGTGGGTCACGCAGTGAGACCGAGTCGGGCATGTGGGAAGCATGATCTTGGCCGTGTACACCGGTCCTTGACTCCTAGGAGATATAGAGCATAGCTTAGGACCTAAAATTTATTAAAAAAAAAAAAAAAAACAATACGTGGCTAATTAGCGAGTATGATGCCTGGAGGAAAGTCATCATTTAGTAGACACACGCAGCGGACCAGTCATTATAAGTACTTGTTAGTTGTAGCTAGAGTTCTCTTCTCTCCTCATATAGTTTAATAAATCGATTTATGCATCACCAACTCGGTTTCCGTCACAGTCACGATGAAAAACATCATCGTCCTCTTAATTTATAATTTCTTACTTCTAAACCTCCATCGTGAGCCCCGATTATCACTTGTACACCCCTAAGACGGTAGATTCTACCTCTTCTAGATCTCGCCGTAATAATGAGGGCTGAAGGGATTGTAAGACGGAATGTATAAATATCTGACCAACTGCTCTAGACAGGTCGCCATTAGCCGCAAGACAAATAATTAACACAGATTTAAGTTTTTATTGCTTTTGGTGCCTAATCCATGATAATTACCTATCTTCATAATCGTGATTGTTAATCAGGAGAGATTGGATTCGGATCATCGAAAGTAAGGGCTAAAACTTGTTTCCACGGGAATAAGTGATTATAGTATAATCTCAGGACCGTAGACCCTGTCTTGAGAGCTTAAATTTTGTTAGACACCACTCAGAAGTATTTAGTCTCAGTCCAAAAGTGTATTTGTTCCAATGGTTTCATTCCCTACGTAGATTAAAATGATTGATTAATCACTGTTCTATCACTATGATTTTTTTGACAGTTGAAGTTACGATGAAAGATATTCATCAGACAGTCATGGCAGTTCCGAAGAACTTGAAACGAGTAGGCCCCAGCTATAGGGGGCTGATTACCATATATAGCCACAATTACATCCCGTCTGAATTGTCATACTATCGCAAACTTATTTCAAATACTGAACTACACAAAGTCTAGGCGTCTAGAAATCCCTTTAAACAGGCAGAAGTACGAATTGCTGTCCAAACTCGGCAAACAAGCGCCTAAGCTACTAAAATCCTCGCTCGCCGTAAGAATCTTCACTTTCATAAACGTCAGCTTTGCTAAGTATTGAATTTTATTGTAGTAGTGTTAGACTATACCCGCTACTGAAGTTGCTAGCTACTCAATAAGGGTAAGATCTCATTAGAATATCTATACAATTCTGTATCTCTTGGATATCATAGTTTCGACTATCATGTATCTTCTGATGATCCTAGAACATTACTGAAGTCCATTTCAGGTAGAAGCTTTACTTGAGATCTTAGTTGAATGTCCCAGGTGAAACCACAACGTTGATCAAGAATTTCTGACCTGTAACAATATGATATGATGTACATGAATTTATCAACAGTGTGGATACTCGCAAAATACCACAGTACAAAGATAAAAAGATATTTCTTAGAGTCGAAAGGTAGAGTACTCAATAAATATTCACTTTCACATATTTTTATTATCTCTTAATTTCTACCAATAACTTTCCATTTTTTGTTATTTGCGCATCCCATGTCATTCGTATCCTTATTAAATGGTGCGTGAAGCAATAAGTGATAAGATCCTTACAGAGATCGGTCACTGATCTGGAAGTTTCGAAGAGAGGTCAATTGTAGAGGATTGAAAGATTCATACTTAACCAGTTTCTGGAATATGACCCATAATAGACCTATTTCTATCTATCAATCGTAAGTTGATCGCAATAATCTATTACCGGGCTTTTAGATGTTATCAGATTATTAAAGTTGGGGTCCCTATCAATAATTTCTGGCGTAAAGTTTTTATGGCGATAATCAATAAAATATAAGAATCTGTCAGATTATCTAAAACGTAAAAGTAGCTATGACATCATAGATATGCTAGCCAGGATCCACGGTATAGCTGTAAATCCTGTATAGTGTGAAAGACAAGACATTATGAACATTTAGGACAACACAGAATCGTACCACTCTTTACTGAATCATTCCGATCGATCGTGAACCCACCCCTTAGTAATTCCAACAGAATCTCTATATCTTTTTGTGGATTACTTTCAACCCTAAGGAGGGTGTTATTCCTGTAGATTAAATAGAAGGGCCGATGACAGGTTTTAAGTCTCCATCGTATGATAGGACGAGGTTCAGCGTTTTGTTGATAATAATCGAGCCAATACATCCTGAGAAGATCCTTCGAAAACTTTCGAAATCGGTGTGTACTAGCTTTTCAATTATTACATGACTGTAATGACATTAACCTTCATCTTTTCCTATAATATTTTTTTATATAATGTTTTGATTAGATGTGGAGTTAGCTTTGTAAACAGTAACTGATAAGTTAAATCTTATGATATCCGGAACATTGCCTTCAAGCATAATATAGAATTGAGCCACTACAAAAATACTGAAGAAACCTAGTGGTGATGTAAGGTGCCATGAAATGTTTGGTATTGAATAGAATCAATAATTAATGCGGTCTATTATTTGGCGTGTAGGGAGTTTGCCTAGTTGCTTGGCTTTTATTCGATTTCTTCAATTATAGGATTTGAATGGGAACTTTTTGGGCCTGTAGACAAGATAGACATCTCATTATATGCTATTATTTTGCGTGAGTTATGCAGAAGTGGGGGGTTTAGACATTTAATCTGCAAAGCTTCAAGACTTTCAAGTACATCTTTAGCATGTTGCTGGACCAAACCATCATTATCGGTGGCTTCGATATACTGCAATACCCTTCGAATATCTGCAACTCCCTGTCCAGTGAAATCAAACACTGAGCTTCTCTTTCTGGCTCTACTGGAATCTAAACTCTTGAGGAAATTCATGATTAGTAGTACAGCCGCACGCCGCAAGATTCCTTTTTCTAGTTCAGGTTCGAGGCCAAGGATCTGAAGGCTTAGTTCTAGAGAAGCTGATGCTAAGCGTGAACTGATACCCTCAATGTTAGTCGAGATAGCTGCTCCGAAAATGGTGATAGCCGATGACCGGATTCGGACGTCTTCTTCACCTCTTTTACTTTCCCACCCGGCAACAATCTGACAGAGCAGATCCTCTGCTTGTAAACTAGTATCATTATCATTGTCCAGGCTTAGTTCAAGTTCGCTCGACGTTTCTATGTTTTCAACCTCTTGTTTTACTTTTGGAAGTACAGTTTTCTCACGAAGCTTGTAAGATTTGGGTCTATATCCACGACGACTTCCAAGGAAGAGTAAGCCCCGACATAGCGTATCAGCAGCCTCGAGGTTAAAATCGAGTCTATTTTTCTCTATTACCTGCAGTAAGGTTTCGCCAAGACGCAATCGCTGATCTAGCTCGCATTCTTCGTTTGAGTCTACGTATTGGTCCATTAAATCACGCATGACTGTTTTAGGATGCCATCGGGATAGCTGAACTAATAAATTTATTATTTTTAGGTAGACATATTCCTCATTATCTCTTAAATAAGTTATCAAAAGCAAAATAAGTGCTGGAATATCTAAAATAGAGCTTGATGCGCCGATCAGTTGCGATATGATCTCTAGCCCTTGTACTTTAACAGGAGGAGGTGAGTCAAGACTAGTAAGGTAGGACATTGCAAGATCGTAGGATTTCTTTTCTTCAGTTTGCTTATTTATCCAGGGCCTTTTTCCAACAGTTGTATCAGACTCAGTTGGAATGATAGTATCATGTAAAGTCAAAAGCATCAAGAGGTTTTTTGAAGTCCTTGAGACTTCTAGAAAAGACTGTCGGCTTATAATTTCTAAAGATTTTTGGATTGACTCGAATAGGTGATCGATTGCCTTGCTTCTCTGAAAACGTGAAGTCAAAACCACGTTCAATAAGCTGAGCGCGACAGAAATAAGGTCCGCATTACTATCTTCATGACAGATTGCTTCCCAATCACTTAAAACTTGATTTATTAATTCGAGAAGCTGTAGAGAGTTATCGATAAGCATTTCAGGTAGAGTTACTAGCATTTTTTGCATCAACTTGACACCAATAACCTTGGCTATAGTATCAGAAGGAAAGTCAACTTCGTGCGTATGAATCTGTGTCGTGAAATCCTTGGAGCGGCAGGATAGATAGCTTGATATAAGTTTCATAAATAGAGCTGATACCTCATTTTTCAACTCGGGCAGATCGCTCATTAGTGTGACAAAAATACTAATTGCTAGGTCCACATTTTCGAGGTTTGTCATTTTGAATGTTTGGTTACTCAATCTTATTTCCTCGATGTGGATTCCACTCTGTGTCAGAACGTAGATCCAACCAGTTTCTCCAACGGTATCTTTTCCTTGAAACATCAGGTCATCTATAATCAAATTAAGGAGACCCTTATGAGTTGTACTGTTACTACCTGGTGCAAGACGTAGAAGTGTTGTCAATAAATTTTTGGCAGTATTTCCAAAAGAGTTTTCCACTTGACTATATTCTTGAGATCGCCAGAAAATGGCCCAAAGAGGAAGAAGAATAGGTCTTAACAAACGATTTGCCAAAGAAGGATGAGGATGCGATGTTACTAGGACCTGGAGCCTTTGTAGCGCATGGTAAACTTCCTCGGCTGTGGACAATATTCTGTGCATGCTCAAGATCTCCACATCTATAGATTCATACTTTCTGTAAATCTGGGACTTGCATTGCATTGCTGAAGGACATATATGAGCATAAATTGGCTCGACAAAGGCTCTCCAACCGGGTTTTCCTGTTGGAGTTAATCTGTGATCCGAAGTAAAGTGTAAGGGACAAACCCACCTATAGAACCGTAAATTTTTCTTCCTAGAATACCGAACCCAATGATGAATGCTGCTACTTTGTCCATTTCGAGGTCTCCATCTCCATCGAGCAACGATAAAAGTTGAGGAGCGATACCATTGAACCAATATTCTATTCCAGATGCCGCTGGTGGCGATGAGAGTAGACGGGAAACTGCGTTCATAGCTTCATGTGAGATGCAAGATCGTTTTCCCGTTCCTTCTGCATTCGAAGTTACTGTCGAGCTTGGATGTATAGATATAACAAATTCGATAGTGTTTTGGACACCTTTGGGTCGGAGAGGAAGGCGTGCTAGTGCTGAAGTGAGCTGCTCTCGTATCCATGGAGAGGTTCGACCTGGTTGAACAAGAGTGCTTAGGACGGACAGGAGAGAACAGGTGCTGGTGCTTCGAAAATTAGTGCATTTTCAATTGAAATATGGCCTTCACTCTACTTGCGATTCTAAGAGCGACTCGAAGGTTTTGATATGGCCTAAACGTGTTCCTTTTTCATACGAAGGATCGAATGCTTTTTGAGCATGGGAAACAATATCCTTCAAAAGATTTGACTGGGCCTTTCTCTCGTCGATGCTCATATCTTAACTAATATCTAGAAACGAATTTAGAAAAGAGGTGCAAGATCTGGTTAGTAAAATATAGGGTTGGAACCCAGTCCCAGTTGTATGCTTTATGCCGATAATTAAAATTCACATGCAATAGCAGGTTATACAACGGTCAGCCTTTTGAGAGCCCATGATCTGAAAAGTTGGTACCCCGAGAGATTAATAAACGTTGCTTACTTCTAAAAATTATGAAACGTAAGGGTCGTTAATAACAAAATTATTAAGGTAGACTCTATTTAGTATCCAAATATCGTTTAATAGACTTCAGCCTTCCGCTGAATATCATACTTGTGTGGGTAATCATACTTTTGGACATTTTATTTTACATCAGCTTTTACATGCGTGTAGCTACTTAGCTGTACGCGGTGTCTTCTGCAAACCTGGGAGTGAAATATTCTCCCAGAGCCAAGTTCAGTCAAATTTCGCAATAACGCACAAGTTGGCCCACGAGGCAAAAGTTTAAATTACTGCTCCACGTCGTTTTTTCGCTCCCAACGAGTTTGACTCCAACCTAAGTCTCATCAAGCCTACAAGTACGACCTAGTACATCCTCAACCCAATGACCACATCACTCTTAGACCTTCTCTGACCTCAGTTAACCACCAAATACACGCCCACGCCGATATTTATTCACGACGGAGAACACAAAGCCTAGCGCACAAATCTGGGAGACAGTTCTTTGGAATGGACGTGAGAGGATTCAGGACAAGTTCACAAGATGATGCGAAAGATGGATACAGTCTCGACGGGCGTGGAATTTTGAAATTTGGAAAGGAGTTTTTACAAATTGAGCTTCGTGCGTGCCAAGACCTCGGTTGCGAGCGTGCAGGCGACACAATAAAAACTGCCATGGCTGGATGATGCGGTGGTACATCGTCTTGGCCGATCTGCCAAGTAGAGTCTGCATAGCTTGGACACATATCCCACTTGAGACAGTAGATCGCTGGTTCAAATCCAGCAAAACACAACCACTTTTCACGCGGCGCTGGTATACATGGATGACGAAGGCATGCTTGGATAACCAAAGGTTTCGAAATTCCCTTTGGTGGGTACTAACGGAGGAGGGTCAACTATTTGTGTGAGCAAATATACCACATAGTGGTATTTGCAAATGAAATCTAGAGTGTGAGTGTCTCTAACGTCAAAAGAGTCATCCAACGTGTATGCATAGCACCGGTCATATGTTATAGCTAGATAGCTGAATACATATAAAATGATTTAAAAAAAGCTACTTCCCTATGATACAATAATAGAGAAAATTTACAGAATATATGACTTATTATACAAATGGAGCTCTCATGCCTCTGATTTTATTTGCAAGTAAATCTGCGTAGTTATGGTGGCTTTTTCATCACCCCAAGTCAACCCTCATCCGTGAATATCCACCCAGGGGAACGTCTCAAAAACACTTTTTCATCCGGACATGTCTCCATCATTCATTTACTTATCTCCGCGCGAAATATGATCTGTGGTGTCTCCCCCCCAGGTGGAATAGGTGCCTAGGCTACTCAAACTATACCAGAGAACATCACCAGATGGCAGACCACAACACCTTCCATCGTTGACTCGTTTTTAGTGACAGCCACACTCTTACAATCGAAGTCTTGGCAAACACAAAGCTTAATTTGTAGAACTTCTTTCAAAATTTCACCCCTCTCGAGATTGTATCCATGGTCCGTATCGTCTTATGAACTTGTCCTGATCCCTCTCACGTTCATCTCAAAGAACTTACATATTTTTGAACAACGCTTTGTTTCCTCCGTCGGATATAAATATCGGCGTGGGCGTGTATTTTAGGAGGAGTTGAGGCCAGAGAAAGTCGATGAGTGGTGTGATCATAGTAATGAGGATATCTTAGGTCGTAATTGTAAACTTGACGAGGATTAGGTAGGAGTCAAACTCGTTGGGAGCGAAAAAACGACGTAGAGTATTTTTAATCATAGCCCCTAAGTCCAACTTCTTGGATATAACGAAATATGTTGGAATTACTACGGTGTGGTTTCACGATCGATCTTAATGATTCAGTAAAGAGTTGTACGATTCTATTTTTTGTTTTTTTATATTAAAATCCTAAGCTACAGCTCTAGGTCCACTATAGGTACAGGACTGGTGAAGCCGGCGGGGATCACTGCTTACAGGCCTAACTCATTCCAACCGCTGGACTCGCTACAGGAATAGTAGGAAGTAAATTACAATGCAGACAACCCCTACTCCGACTCCGAAATCGAGACTCCATCCTTCAACCCTAAATTCAAGTACATAAAAGATTTCCTCAGAGAAACGACACTTCTCGCATCGATCCCTTTCGTGTCATGCGTTGTGGCAATGACTAGTTTATCTGATCCCCGCTGAGAGCAGTGGATGAGTGGCCAGGTCGTCTATCAAAACAGCCGGTTTCCTTCGCAAGGTTTTTGAAGCTATCGTGGCACTTGGGCCCGAGAAGCTTTTTGATAAAGTCAACGTGGGACGTTGACTTTCTGAGCCTACGCGTTTGTTGTGCGTGGCGGCCACTATGGATGAAGTGGGTTGGAGTAGTTTCCTTCCCGCAAGAGCACTCCATGAGAGCGTATGGATTATTAAAACGGCGACGGTATGCCGCAAAATTGCCGTGGCCTGTTCGTGCTGCGATTAGTGCCCGGAGGAGGTGCCTAGAGAGAGACAGTTCGGGTGGTTTGCGTCTCCGCACCTGTAGGTCGAGTTGGCGGTATTGAGGCGGACGGGCCTCTTCCCACCAGTCGTCTAGCAGCCTCTGTCGTCTGCGATTCATGAGAACACGTAGATATGCCAGAGTACATGATCCTGGTGGTGTCTCCTGGCTAGGTAACTCTCGAAGTGCGGCACGAACAATGGTGTCTGCCTCCTCGTTCCCTTGAATCCCTGCGTGCCCTGGCACCCATTTTACCAATACTTTTGCCACTTTACTTAATGCACGGAATCTGCGTACATCTTCTAGGCTAGTTGAGGACGAGCCTGTCGTTAGTGCGCTTACAGCCTGCTGGCTGTCTAGAAACACGTAGATTTGCTGCGTCACTCCTACTTTCCTGCACTTTTCGTTCTTCAAGAACTCCAGTGCAGCCTCCAGAGCCTTCCTTGCTCCTGCTATCTCTGCATCCAGCACCTCTCCCCCGTGCTTGATGCCACTTCCTTTGCCTATGAGTTTCCCATCTTTTTTCAGAACGAAACCCTAGACAGAACGTTCATGTCCTTCCGATGAACCATCCGAGTATGCGCAAATGTCCGTTCCTGGCACGTCGCTAATCCGTCTAACGCAACCTTCGCGTTCCATCGACTTTGAGCCTGATTTCCTAGAGTAAGCCACCGGCGTCAGACTTTCAGGGGCTTCTGCTTCCGGAAGCTCTCGGTAGGCACGCTGTAACCGTGACATCTGGATTTCTGGTCTGGCTGATGTTTTGGCGGTCTTTTTATATTTTTGGGTGCCGACATTGGGGCACACGGAAGCGCGGATCCTCAGAGGGTGTTGATCATCAAGGGTCTTAAGCCTTGCCGATAGTCGAAGTCGATTTCCCTCAAGTATGACTTTTGCTGGCGGGATTCCTCCTCTCTGTGAAGGACTACATTTGGTGTTGTCCTCATTGCTGGAAGCGCAGCCCGCAATCCCATTAGGTTCGCTCTATCAATCATGCTGCATAGGTTAGACGTAGATGACGTGACCATTCCTCGTATAGTTGGGCGTTTGGACCCTGGCCACCAGACATCAGATCCAAAAGTTGCTAGCGAGATAACGCACATGTCTACTGCGTTAGCTAGCGGCCCGTGGGCTGCTCCCCGAAAGACAGAGTTGAAGCGGCGCATATGCTGTGCAGCTTCTATCGCTTTCCCGCACCACGTAGTTACGTGGTGTTTGAAATTGAGTCGAGGATCCAAATGTACGCCTAGCCATCGAATATGGTCAGCGGGCTCGATGAGATTTCCATTCACGTGAACCCCAACTGCTTCTTCTCGGCGTCGTCCTGAGAATTGGATGACTTTAGACTTTTCCGTTTCGAAGGCAACGGCATTTGTCCCTGCCCACTCGAGAAGATGGTCTACCTCTCTTTGTGCAGCGCTGGCAGATTTAGCAACTGTGCGTCCAAACCCTAGAATTCCAATATCATCGGCGTAGCTAAACCTCGATCCTGAGTTGCCGCTTTTCATTGGCTCCGCCATGTACAGAAGGAATAGTAAAGGTGATATTGGTGAGCCCTGCGGGACTCCACAGACCAACTCTCTCTGGGTGGTGACTCCGCCGGAAAAACGCACTTGAAATTTCCGGTGTGTGAAGAATGAAGTCGTCCACCGGAGGATTGAGTCTGGCCATCCCTGGACTTGCATGCGCCTAACCAAGCGATTGTGGAGCACTGCATCAAACGTTCCTTGGACGCCTAAAGTTACGAAAGTTGAGGCCCATCCCTGGGAGCGTGCTTCTTCGACGTCATGGACTACGCAGGAAACCAGGTCCGTTACAGATCGCTTTGGGAGCGCACCGAATTGTTGATGGCCAACCACATCATGAGTGATTGCGAGGTGCGCCATTCGCTTTGCAAGAAGTCTTTCTAATCCTTTGCCTAGGCACGAAAGTAGAGCGATTGGTCTCCAACCTTTGATTGAAGTTGGATCCCGATTTGGCTTTTCCAATAGCACCACTTCTGCAAGTTTGAAGCAGGATGGGTGGGTGCCGAGCTGTATGCTAGCTCTAAAGAGCTGCGTAACACACGGTCCGATCGTCTTCCAGCAGGCCTCAAGAAGCTCGACTGTGACTCCGTCTGCTCCTGGGGCTGCCTCGGTGCAGCCGATGGTGCAAGTTCGCACTTCATTTTCTGTTATTTCGTCTTCCCAGGGTATCCGGTTATGGCTGGGAGCAGTGCACGTAGGAAGATCGTCCGATGCTTGGTGACGTGCAAGAAGGGCGCCTCGGAGAATGGTAGCTCGCTCTAACCGGTCCGTGATGAACTTTCCGTTGTGATTGAGTGGGG